TGGCATGTTATCTGCAAAACATTCAAGTAGATGGTAAAGTTTGTTAAATTTAATAATCCTATAACATTAAAAGTTCACATACTTCTAAATTGGACACCTTCTGTTTATTACTTATCATTGAGGAATGAGGTATTAATAAAATAAATGAAAATCAAGATTTAAAGGTAACAATTAAAGTACTGCTCTTGTGACTGAATTTCCCTCACAATCAGTCTCTGTCTCATACTCACTATATTTAAAAATTCTGTCTGTTTATAATACTTCGTATATTTCTATGTATGTCAATCTCAATGATGGAAAAGAAAAATGAAGTTCAAGCACTATGAAAGCAATGATGGCATGAGAGCAGTTTGTTGCACTGAACTAAAGCTGTACATACGTATGTAACAGGTGTAGATGTCATATATAAAAAAGTATGTAGAGTTATAATATATACTTCGAATATAAGACTATACACTCCATATGAAAATTGCCAACATAGTAGGTGTTCTTGGTAACTAAATTGTCTGCTTCATAGAATCATAATCAAAACGCAATGTAATACAATGTTAAGTATTATCTTCACATAAAAGTTTATTCACTGCTTCATTTTTAAAAAATATCAATTGATGACGAATGGGTAGAACACGTAATTTTCTAACTGCTCAAAAATTTTAAAACTCAAAGAAACTAAGTAAGACACACGTTTCATACATAGATTGAGGACAACTTTCCAATAGAAATTATCTCACACTACATGCTATGTGTTTATCTAGATCCCCTATTAGGATGATAAAGACTTGAAGAGGAAAGGAAATGTGCAGGTATAGTACCGATCATATTAAGGATTCATAAAAGAAATATACACAAACAACATTCATACGATACAGAAAGGAAAAACAAATCATCTTTTCATTATTGGACATTTTTAAAAAGTGGAGATTAGGATTTATCGCTGAAGAATTTAAAGATTCAAAATGAAAAGTAAAGAATTGGGGTTAGTAAACAAATTTGAAGAAGAAAAACTAAATGTTGACTTACAATACACAACCACAGTACGTAGTACAATATTAATTTTGAAAATTTTGCTTTTAGTTAGCATAGTAACTGAATATCTGCACATTTATAAGAGGCTCGTGGGACATTTATAGTACATATAAGGCTCGTGGTACATTTATAGAGTAAAGGATTTAGAAGAGGGACACAATTTTATACGAATTTCGGATTTAGAATTCCAGATAACGTTAGCGTACTTAAGTGAGGAAGAAGCAAAGTGTAGGAGGTTGGATTAGATGAAAATGAAAACAACAATGCAACGATGAATCGATGATAGAATAACTGATAATAACTAAAGCATGTATAACTGATAGTAAAAGTTTGCCTAATAAAATGGAAATACACAGAATGCCATTTATAAAAATGAACATAGGTACCTATGAATAAAGAAACACTAAAGGGGAACTCAGCTGAAACCGAATGAGAAAAGAAAACACATAGGAATATATTCCTCGTACACAGAATGTTTTCCAAAAAGGAAACTCAACTGAATGCAATAACAAATTAATTTCATACTCATGTGAGCTTATAAGAATGAGCACCAATAAGTGTATGTCCAAAACATACTATATCAACAACATTTGGGATAATATAAAGATAAAAAAAAACAACTTCAGTTTGCAAAAACATACACAACTTAGTATGAGGAATCTATTAGTAATGGTTAAACCATATGAGCTTAAAGTCAAACCATTGATTCCCCATTCTTATATTTTAGTGAACCATTCATCCCTGCAAAGACATAAGGAGCTTAAACAATGCAATAAGACATTAATTTCTTAATCATGTGAGCTTATAAGAATGAAACCAAACCAACCCTGAAAAGTGAGCCATTTGTTATTTTATGCATAATATATAGATTGATAAAATGAATCCATACCTGAAAAATTCAAGTATAAAATGTCCAGCCACATGTTCTTTTAAGCATAATGATATACTTCCTCCATTCTTTAATTCTTGCAACATTGTGATTTTTGCACTATTCACATATCTTACTTTGACCAAGATTTTCTACTAATCTACACAATCAAATTATTATGTATAAAATGTTATTAAATTCCTATCAATGTGAATTTCCAAAATATCAAATTTTTATAATGTTTACAAATACATAATTAAATATAATTACAGTCAAAGTTGTGCGTTGGCAAACGTGAAAGTCAAACTGTTGCAAGAATTAAAGAACGGAGGATAGTATATTGATTAATTGAAATCCAACCTGGAAAATCAATAAATTTTCAGAATATCAAAATATAAAAGGTCCATACATTTGTTCTGTTATGCATAATATACAGATTGATAAAATGAAACCATACCTGAAAAATCCAAGCATTAAAAAGTCTAGCCACTTGTTCTTTTAAGTCTAATGATATATATTGATTAATTGAAACTAACCCTGGGAAATCCATAAATTTTCAGAATATCAAAATATAAAAATCTGAAAAATGAAACCTGAAAAATCTAGCCATTTCCAGAATATGAAACTATAAAAAGTCCAACCATTTGCTCTTTTATGTATAATGAATAAAATATATTGAAACCAAACCTGAAAAATCCAGCAATTTGTTCTTTTACAATAGAAATCCAGCAATGTGTGCGTTCAGGGATGAGAGGGGAGAAATATTGTAGGTGAATCAAAATCGTGGAGCAGATTACGGGTCAATGAAGCGATGAAACAATTGAGAGGAAGCGATAACAATTATCGGAGAAGAAGAAAGGGGGAAGAGTACGATTCTGTGTATTGGATGAAGAAAAATGTTTTGGAAAATAGGCTAATCAAACTGTGTAGATTGCGGTTAGCGGATGATTGGGATTGCAGAAATAGGCTGAAGAAGAAATGGTGAAGAACCTGGAAGATGAAAAAGCGGTGAAGAATCTGGAAGATAAAGAAACGGTTACACTCTATCTAAGCCCTTGCATACTGTGTTGATGTTGGACGCCTTCGGTAAGACCATGAGGTTTGATACACGAAGAGCTGAGTTCTTGGATGGTTTAGAGAAGTCGGTGAAAGACAACCGTCAGGTGGAGAGGAATAGATGAGAAAAGGTAGAGATGGGGGAGAACGTGATGAACGATGAAAGAAGAAACAATATGGATGGATCTGAGTGGACGATTGAGATGGGCTTTGTGTATAAGCGGGAGTACCGGTCATTGAACAGTAAAAACACTGTTCATTGAACAGTAAAAAGTTGAAGTTGTATTGAAATTATGTATATATATATATATATATGGATGTTATTTTTTCAAATCAACCATTTAATATGCTTTTAATTTTTGATAGATTCTTTTAGTGGAAATTTTATAATTAAAACGGGTATTAGCCCTAAATAGGAGTAAAATAAGTCCCAAATTCAACATTAGGAGTACAATCATTTTATTTCCAAAATAGGACTAATATATATCTCTTTTTCCCATTCTACCCCTTCCTATAATTTCCAATAGATTTATTTTATTAATAAGAAAAGGGAAAAGGGGCAGATAAGGCCACGTATTAACAAAAAAATGTCAAATAAGGCCTTATTTATGAGACTCTGTCCGGACTTCGCCATTTGGGTTGGTTCTCGGTGGAATTTTTTGATGAACTTTTTTGAGCATCTTATTCAGTAAGTCTAGTTTACTCATACCAAATTTAAGCTAAAACTTCAATCGGGAAGCCATTCAAATGAATTCTTGAAGATAATTGCGCAGTTAAAAGCGCAGTTATCTTCAAAAATTCATTTGAATGCCTTATCGATTAAATTTTTATCTGAAATTTGGTATGAGTAAACTAGACTTAATGAATAAGATGGTCAAAAAAATTAATCAAAAAATTCCATCGAGAACCACCCCAAATGGCGAAATCCGGACAGAGCCTCATAAATAATGCCTTATTTGACCTTTTTTGGTTAGTACGTGGCCTTATTTGCCCTTTTTCCCATAAGAAAATAATAGTTTTATTTATAAAAAATATAAAAAATAATAAAATATTTATAAAATAATAATTAAAACGTGAAAAAATAAAATAAAAAATAAAAAAATTAAAATTAATAAATAAATTATTTAATTTTTTTAAAAAGTCCAAAAAATAAAATAAAATACCTAAAAAATATTTAAAAAATATGTACGTCATTGCCAACGCGCCCTCTACCTCCTAGCACCACCGACTCCGGTCGCCGGAAAAAATGTCATCTTGTGTAAAAAATGTCATTATTCTCTGAAAATGCTACTACCTTCGTTCCTATTAAAACTTCCAAATAGGTTTGGCACAGAGTTTAAGATAGTGGGTATTGTGTGGTGGAGAATTGTGCAGAGGAGAGAGAAATGTGTAAGAAATGTTGTGAACCACAAATTTTTTACTAAAAAGGGAAAGTGGAAGTTTTAATTGGAACGGATGAAAAAGGAAAGTTGGAAGTTTATTTAGGAACGGAGGGAGTATAAAGATGGCATTTTTACTCTTTGAAAATATCCAGCTTTCTCTTGCTTTCTCTTCAAAATTGCCATCATGATGACATTTTTCCCCAACTTGGCAATCTTTTCTGACGACCGGAGGTGGCGGTGCTGGAAGGTGGCTGAGGTGGTGGTTGAGGTCTATATATTTTATAATTATTTTTTACGATTTTTTGATTTTTTTTTATATTTTATAATGATTGTTTAAAAATCCTATTATCAAGGATAAAGGAAAGGGTAGAATAGGAAGTTAGTCCTATTTTGGAAATTTAAACTTTAAACTCCTATTGTTGTAATTATCCTTTTATTTACTCCTATTTAGGTAAATATCCCTAATTAAAATCTATAGAAGAAAAACAAGATGCACATGATATTCCTCGCCTAAAATAATCATATCACAACACACAAAACTAAAGTTTATTTTTGGAAAAGATAGAATCACCAATTTGAAACCTTGAAGGGATGGGTTTGTATTTTGTGGAGTAATTTTCAAATCTAATGGTGCAACTTGCAAGTCCTAGCAGAAGTGGCTCGGATATCCCTCCAGCGGGTCCAAAGCTGACACGAAAACACACGGAATTGCTCCTTATCCACAGCGGCTCCACATATAAAGTCTTCCAGTTTTCTGCTATTGATTTACTGCTGACCAGACTTTGGCTCTATATTCAGCGTCTCCATTTCTATGGCTATACCCAACGCCTTCTTCAATATCGCCTACACTCCGCCGCGATCTGCAATTTTCAACACAGATTATGCCGCCGGTCCGCGATTCACGCTATACAAACTTTGCTCCACGCTTCACCACAGAACTTTGCGCGCAGGAACAACCGCATTTCATCCTAAAATGTATTTTACAAAAGAAAAAAAGAAATGCAGGCGCATAGAGTTCCTCTTTTTTTGACTGTTCTCACGTTTTGTACATGTTTTTGTGTTTATTTCATTTGCTTGATCACAGAGAATAATCTTTGCATTTGAATTTGTGTCGTCAATTATTTTATGCATCTCTGAAAAGTGTAGAATATATACTATGGAGTAATAGTATACTTGCATTGGAAGCGTGAATTTCGGACAAAATTGAATTTCATAACCATTTCTTGACGACCTGGTATATACCTCATACGTTGGTTCATCTTAGCGAACACTAGATGTTTTAATCACGTTTATTATTCTGGAATCTAACTAATAGATCAGTGTGCAACTTGTAAGTTTGGATAAGTACATATATGCTTGAATCCTTTCTTATGTCCTGGCGATATGAATATTGTGTTAGACATTTTACAGGGTTTCTGTTTCTTGCACTGTTCATGGTGTGGATTCATCGAGTTATTCACTGGAAATGGTAAGCTAAACTTCCTTTAATTGCTTCACACGTATGATGTATATTTCTCTAATTGCTTGAGCATTCACCTTAACAAGTTCCAGAAGATACTTGTGTGATCCTGAAATTGCTGAGGTTAATATATTGCATTATTGTGTAATTTGTGTTGTACTGGTATTTGGATAAAATGTTTAAGTAATTTTGATCTTTCTTAGCCTTTTCCTTGTTTAACTCTATCATCTTTTATGACTGAAGCTATAATGTGAGTTATTGTGTGAATGGTATTAGTTTGACAGATACTTGAAGGAAACAACACATCACTGAAGCATTTTCAATGACATCGTACTCGAAACTAGTTTTGTAGTATTTCAAGAACTTGACTCCTGGGGGAGATTAGTTGTAGTCTTGTAGGGGAATAGAATTTGAGGCTCAATCATTTAATGTTGGGAATCTTTGGTGGGGTACCACAACTGCTCTGGGAGACACATAAGACTTGAATCTAAGGCCTTACTTGAGGGAAATATACCCATTCTTCTTATCAGAAGAATAGGTAAATACAGAGTTGGACTACTTGGACATTTTTTGGACTTGGTACCTTTGCATTTTAATAGATTACACCTTTAAGAAGGCACTGAACTTTTAAGAGAAAAAGTAACATGGTAAGACTTGGATAGTTTGATTTTTAAATCATGAAAATCCATGATTCTCTAAAGAGTTTATAGTTTCTACAAATTTGTATCAGCTATTAAACCCATGACACTCAAAACATATTGATTTTTCAGGAGCACAAGGAATCTCTTGATGTTCCAACACCAATTGTTCAGATAGTCCAAGACCCTGAAAGTGATGAAACACGTGTGGAACTTAGTTTTGGAGATCGTCTTGGTGCCCTTATTGATACGGTGAAGTCATTGACTACCCCTGTTTTCTTATGCACAGTTAGGAAATGTGGCAAGATTATACAGACTACAGAGTATTGAATACAACAAAACAATTTATTTCAATGACGCAACCATTTATGCACCATAGGGCAACCTTTCCGTACTTAGCAGATCCATTATGTACAACGTTCACTAATTTAATTTTCTTAATCCTGCCTCTGTAGTTCTTAATCCATATTTAGGTATTCCCCAAGTGAAACGGAGACTCAAAGGAGCATTATAACAATATTAACACAATCATGAAAAGCAGCGCCTCATTATTTTCTGTTATCCTTATAGATGCTTCAATATAACAACAAATTTTCGATCCCTATCTATTTGCTGTGTACATTGTCCAAGCATGTTTGGTATGCTTGCTATAAGAGTAGTTGGCCAATGGTTTGTTTATTTAAATTTTCTTTAATTTACACAATCTTTTATGAAGGATCTCAATAGTTGCTGCTTTAATAAAGAACAACCTTATGGATCTTAACTTCATTTCTCTTGTCGTTCAGATGAAGGCACTAAACGATTTAGGTTTGGATGTTAAGAAAGGCACTGTTACTACGGAGGGCGCAGTGAAAAGCACAAAATTTATCATTACACACCAGTAAGTGGCCTATTTGTTATACTAAGACATAGCTATCATGGTAGCACAAAGGGATGAATAATCAGAAGTTAGCCCTGTCAAAATGTATTCCTTGTCGACGTGGCACCTACTTCATTTTATTAAACATTTTATATTTCACGAGTTTGATCCTTTATTTGTCATGTTAAATTATGTTTTGTGCGACTCAGATGTATGTCTGAGTATGCTGTCTATAGAGTCAAGCATATATACTTTTTTAATGTATGGTAGACAGTGAGCAGAATAGACTTTTACCTTCATATGCAATTTCTTTTCATGTCAGTGATTGTAGTGTTGTTATTCTTTAGAGCAACTGGGCGAAAAGTTGAAGATCCTGATTTGCTGGAAAGAATTCGTTTGACAATCATCAACAACCTTATCAAGTACCATCCAGTATGTTTTTTATGACCTTGATTCCCTTATCCTATAAATAAATGGTAGATTTCCCAAAATAGAAGTAAATGAAGTTTGAAATTCCAAAATAGGACTACTTTATTTTTATTCCCGAAATGGGACTAACATGGCAGTATTTACTGTCATCTTGTAGCCGTGACTGCCAAATAGTTGCAGTACATTGCATTTAACATGACAGTATTTATTATAATTAATGACAATATTTTTCAATCATTGCAGTATTTTCATACATGACAGTGATAACTCCTATTTCGGGAAGAAAAACATACTAGTCCTATTTTTGGAATTCCAAATGTCATTTGCTCCTATTTTGGGTAATTTCCCTAAATAAATCCTAAAAATAAAAAAGTTTAACATTATATTGGATAGCATCATTAGCATCTTTTGTGTACTTCATACTGCTGCCATGGTTAGATTCTTTCTTCTCAGTTATTGGTTGCTTCTTGTTCCATCAGGAGTCTAGCCAATGGCTTGCGATGGGTGAAGTTTTTGGAATAAAAGCACCGGAAAAGAAGGTGATACTCCAAAAACTACACGTCTATTAGTTGTTGCTTAGAGAAAATTATTGTCTCTAATAACTGTCACTTTACGATATAAAGAGAACATTAATAGAACTTTTTATATCATTAAATGCATATAGTACTTTATACACACTAATAGAGTTTTAAAGTCTTATTACACAACTTTTCTTGATTTTAGGAAAAAATAATCGTCTCTTAACAACTTGAAGACATTAAAAATTAATGGAGGGAGTGCTTAAATAAGTATATGTTTATCTGTAGTCAGTGAGTGGGTTCTGGTGTTCTTTCTTTTTGGCTGGGGGTGGGGGCATCTATCTTGCATTCGGGAATTTAATTTGTTGAATCATGGCAGCCTGACATTGATGTTGCAACTCACATACATGTTGAGAACGAAGGAACTAAGAGGAGGTGAGGATTCTTCAGAGCTGTAAATATAACCAGGCTATATTGTTCAATGAAGGTCTCATTTACCAATATATGTGGCCATGTGGGCATATTTAGCTTACAAGGTGCTCTTTTTTGTTTTCTGGCCATTCCAGCATGCTATATGTTGAAACTGCTGATCGATCTGGGCTGCTGATGGAAATAATCAAGATTATGGCTGACATTAGTGTTGATGTTGAATCGGCAGAAATTGATACAGAGGTGTGTTTCTATATATGCCACCCCTGTGCCAAAAAGTGGATGCACATTTCATTCCTTACAGATGAGTTCTCTTTTTTCCTTTGCAGGGGCTTATAGCCAAAGACAAGTTTTATGTCAGTTATAGAGGGGCAGCCTTGAACAATTCCTTGTCACAGGTAAAACTGTAACCTATTGTCTTTTTATAACCCTCAATCAACAAAACATAGTTGATTGCTCGCAATACTGCAAAACACACTCCATTTTCTTGTTTAGTGTCTACTGATTAAGCTAACTTTGATGAATACATTTTCATTTGACACCCTTATTTAACAAATAAAGGTGATATTGTTTCCTTTACAAATTTGCCCTTTTAAAAGAAGCAAAATAGTGATGAACCAATGTACAGTTATAGTATTATTATTAGCTTTATATCATCATCATCATCATCAAATTATGACCTAGTAGTGGTCATTAGCGGGAAGGTAGGTTGTATTATTGTTATATTTATGATCATCTTGTCTTTTTATTTGGTGAATATGGAATAAAATGGGACCTTCTTCCCTGCCATCATCATGTTTCCTGTATACTCTTCTTTTTTTGGTACTTCTGCATTTCAGAGTGCCACCAAGTAAGTGTGTGTTTGTTTTTCGGTTTACTTAATGGAACACTAATCCATTTTATCTCTTGCTTTTACGTTAGTGTCTGAACACAGAAAAGCCTTTTAAATGTGTTTTGAATCGTAAGAACAAACATACCTCTGATGTTGAAGAGATAGTTGAGAAAAGTTTCATGTTTTTGCCATTAAATTAGAAAAATGAACATTCTTTTAGGTATAATTGAAAAGAAAAGTAGATTTTACAAAATGGGAGAGAGGTTTTACATGGTGTACTTCCAGCTCACAATGAGTTAGTTTAGCGATTATTTTAATCCTTTTCCTTGAATAAGGTTTAGTAAGAGTTTATAATGTAATGTTTACCCCTGTTTAATAACTCTTTAACGTGCTTGATTTATTTGAAAATGACGTTTATAATGAACCGGAGGCAGTAGCTACTGGCTAGCTATAAAATTAGTCACATTCATTAAACTATCTATTCCTCTATCTTAGAAGTTGAGATGTTAAAAACTAAAATGCAGGTGCTGCAAAATGTCCTGAGGTACTACCTTCGAAGACCTGAAACGGATGAAGAGAGCTATTAGTCAGAAACGGACGAGGACATCTATTAATCTTTAGAGAGATATGTGCAGTAATCAAATCTTTACACCAATCTCAGAATAAACTTGATAGTCAACTCTATTTTGCTTTTATTGACTGTGCATAACAAAGAACAAAACAAACAAAACAAAAGGGTTAATTCTCCAACTTTGGATGTGCGCAAGTCGTAAGTTGACTGAAAGTATGAAACTTGGGATGGACCCGGTCTGGCTCTGGGTCCAAATATATGCCTACCTTAAATGCAAGCGGTATACCCGGTTTGGTTCTGGTTCACAGTTCTTCTCCAGTCTAGCTCCGGTCCTATGGTCTTTTCTCAGTCCCCCAGTCCCAGTCCCAGTCCGTCCCTACTATGAAAGAACTGGAATCACTATAGATCGGTTTATGTTATTCAACTATTCATTCCGGAACTTGAAAGCGAATTCTACTCTGTGCACAAAACAGACTGGTCTCAATCCGGTTCAATTATGGATCTTGAGCAGGTCCACCCTAATTGAAACTATCCGTGAGTATGCCACCCTTGTTGTAATCACTGATTTGCAGGATCATTGTATATGTCATATGGAATTCATGCTCTTTTATAATTTATTCCGTACACCTTCTAGTGTAGGTTTTTAGAGAGATGTGTGATCTTAACAAAAAGATATTGCTCTAAATAGGACTATAGGAGTTACGACTATACAAGTTAAAATAAGGTGTGTTCCTTACATATGAGTAGGGGTGGACTCGGGCCGGGCCAACCGGCCCGGAACCGGACCGGCCCGCTACTGTGCGGGCCCGGTTCGAGCCAACCGGACCGGTGGGATGGTGGTTCGGGCTCGGGCCCTTCAAAAGGTGAACCGGCCCGGCCGGTTCGGGCCCGGGCCAAGCCAATTTTTTTTTTTGAATTTTTTTTAAGTTTTTGGGTTGGGCTGGGCATTTTGGGCCATTTGAGGTGGTTAGGGTTGGTTTGGGGGTGTGGGGGAGGGTTGGGGGTTAACTAGGAAAAGCCAAAAAAAAATAATAGAAATGTGAGCTAAGAGGGTGGATGGAGAGGTGAGCAAGGGCTGGGGAGGTTGTAAAGGAGGGCTGAGGTGAGCTAGGCTTGGCTGGTGAGGGTAGGGCAGTGAGGGGGGGCTGTATGTCAGGGCTGTGGTGGTCATTGGACAGAGCAATGATCACCGGACGGGCGGCGATAGCCACTGAATGAGTGGAGGGGTGGTCAGTGGTCACTGACGGCTAGAGGTGATCACCGACGTTTGGCGGTGGTCTCTCATCCAGCAACTGTCACTGGATGAGTTTTACAAACCTTTTTTGGAAATTCTTAAAATTAGTCTTATTTATTTCTAAGAGTTTTCATTTAGTAATATTGCTGTCAAAACTGCATAATTCTATTATTTCAGGATTCTGGTATTTTAATTCTATTTAGAAAACGAAAATATAGTAGGAGTACCATTGGAGCATTGAGCGGGATGTTTTGCCTTGCCATCTAGTTTCTTTTACTTTATTACGAAATATAGTACCATTTGCCAGTTACGGAAAAGAGAGGTATATCACCCCCTTTCAAATTTCAATTAATCATTTGAGAATGTATTAGTCTTCAATTCTTCATCAGCCAAACATTTGGATTCCTGTGGACTTGTGTGTATTGACGGTCACAAAAACGCCACAAAATGTTTTTCTGAGAATCAATAACTGCCATTTATAGTAATTGAAACACTAGGGTCCTGATCGAATAGACGAATAGTAATCCTGATTGAATATCAAAGAAGCTAATAAACCCACAATCGTTTAACAATCCTTTCATACAACATATCAACTCGATTAAAAATAGAAGGCAGAAGCACCAGCTCATTAGAAGTAAAATCAATGAATAATTTTGCAAATATATAGTACTCCCTCCATTACAAAAAAAATCCTCCCACTTTCCGTTTTGAACCGTAACTCAATAATCTTCCCATCATGCGCTCAATGATTTTGAAATAATACACTAGTACACCTAGTTTTTTGGATTTATCCTTTATTCCATCACAATAATTCAATAATTTATAGGGAAAATGGAAACTAATAATCCAACCTTTTAACGGTCTTTTTACAATAGTCCCACATTTTCATTATTCATGCCAAACATAAGGATCATAAGGTTGGAAACTAATAATCCAACATAAGGATCATAAGGTTGAAATAATACACTAGTACACCTAGTTTTTTGGATTTATCCTTTATTCCATCACAATAATTCAATAATTTATAGGGAAAATGGAAACTAATAATCCAACCTTTTAACGGTCTTTTTACAATAGTCCCACATTTTCATTATTCATACAGGGAAAATGGAAACTAATAAAGGATTAAGGATCATAAGGATCATACGGGTCATACAGGTCATGCGGGTCATACGGGTCATGCGGGTCATGCGGGTCATGCGGGTTGTCACGCTCCGGACCTACCCGGACACGTCAACAACCCGCCGTACAGTACGAATAGTCAACCGCAGTCCGACTCATCCATACTATACAAGGCGTCTTGAATACCATTCACACATAGTACATCCATAAACAAACATAATGTAAAACATTTATTAAAGCAGCGGAAACAATTGATACAAGTGTTCAAGCCACACTTGTCATAATTAGGCATGCAAGCCCCCAAAGTAATTGTTCAGAAAATATTATCCATGAGCATTATTCATATTGTTTTCAAAACAAGAACGGGAGAAGCACGAACCAAGTCTTCTCCTCAGAAACTTCCCGAAGCAGCGGCTGGTAGTAGCAACCTTCAAGTTCTACCTGAAACTGTGAGGTGGCCTCCCCCGTGAAGGAGAGGTCAGTACTTGGAAGCATTTGACAAGTACAATGACAACTATACTAAGTATAATCAAAGTTTAAATCTCTGAGGCCCTCAATCTAGAGCATTATTACATTTTAGTTAATCCGTCCATTTAGTATCAATTCATCATTATTTACCACGGTCTAGAGCCCAGCTCATAATCACCGTTATCTACTACGGTCTAGAGCCCCGCTCATAATCACCGTCACCTACCACGGTCTAGAGCCCAACTCATAATCACCGTCATCTACCACGGTCTAGAGCCCAGCTCATAATCACCGTCATCTACTACGGTCTAGAGCCCAGCTCATAATCACCGTCATCTACATCGGTCTTGAGCCCGGCTCATAATCACCGATTCCTTATAATTCAAATTCTTAGGATCTAATTCATCCATTTCTCAACTAACATTTCCAACTAATATTTCAATGCTAGTTATTTATTTATTTCAATATAATTCTTTCTTCTTGCACAATTGGCCTTAATATCAAGTATCACTTTCATACCCTCATAGCTTCTCCTCATGGCATCAAAGTATACCATCTCAAATGATATTCATGGTTGGTACAACCATCATACACACATATTCACAACATCTAAACATACACAATTTATTCATAAATTTGTGTATCATGCATACTATACTTATAATCAATAGTAGTTTCATTTAGGCATTATTAACCATTAACAACTCATACACATCACATTTGTATTCACTTAGGAAATCCCATGAAATTAACCCAAAGATTATAAGTAACATAGTCGGTCATCCTCACCTTAATTAAGCTTAAGCGCGTTCTACGTTTCTCGATTGGACTTTGACCAACTCCGGCGAACTTTGACCAACTCCGGCGAACTTTGACCAACTCCGACGAAACTCCGGCGAAGCTCAAAAATACTTTAAATCAAGTTCCTAACAAGGTTTTATCATCACAAAACCCATATCAACACAAATAACCTATAAAAGATTATTTTCCGGCAAACCGGACGATTTGGCTTCTAAGTCCGTTTTTGGACTTAGAATCACTTTCCAACCCATTATTCCAAACTTAAATCATGTAGAACAATACTAAAGATATTTCATATGATATATATCTTATATGCTAGAAGAAAAACAAAGGAAAAGTTATGATAAGGTCATTACCTTAATTTTCACACTTTTTCCTAGCTTTTTCCTTCTTAAACTTTCTTCTTGGACTCCCTTGAGCTTGAGTTCGGATTTGGGCTATGGAGATGAGAAGTTTCAGAGCCCATCCTTGCTATCCTAGGGTGCTGAATTGTGTGGGTGGAGATGGTGAGGTGAGAGGGGTGATTTTTGTCTCATTTAGACAAATGAGTAAAGGGAGGGGGTCTACTACATGTCAAAGGTGTCTCCCCCATCCTCTCAATTGTTGTTCAGCCAATTTGGCACTCATCCAACCCTCAAGGGTTGACAATTTCGTGGGGTAGCCCCCACCCATGTGGGAGGTCATCCTAATTGTCCCAAAGTGTGCAATTTGCCCTGAAAGTTGTATTTTTCCGGACTGTTTTAAGTATATTTTATTTTATCGGGTCAAATAAAATATAACACTTGTTCCCAATTCTTAAGGGACCTTAGAATCAATATGCATCCCTCAACTTTAATTTAGAAGTCTCCGAAATCCCTTTTCGGGCTGTTATCTGATAGATTGCCGATACTGATAATTTGGCCCCGTTTGACCAACCGGTAAACCCTATGCCATTGTCATGGCTCAACTAGGATATCCACCACCATATACATATTATCTAGTCCAAGATCAATATAATATGTGGCCCCGATAATATCGGGCGGTCCCCACTCCCGATGTGGGCCCCACGTGCATTTTACTATTCACGCGTAAAAATATAATACAAATTCACAACTTCGTAAATTCACTAAAAACTTCATAAGGTTCAATAAATTATTCGTTTAAAGGTAAATACATTTGGGGACGGTGTTACACGGGTCATGCGGGTCAAGCGGGTCATGCGGGTCATGCGGGTCATACGGGTCATGCGGGTCATGCGGGTCATGCGGGTCATGCGGGTCAGACGGGTCAGACGGATCATAAGGTTGGAAACATAAGGATCATAAGGTTGAAATAATACACTAGTACACCTTGTTTTTTGGATTTATCCTTTATTCCATCACAATAATTCAATAATTTATAGGGAAAATGGAAACTAATAATCCAACCTTTTAACGGTCTTTTTACAATAGTCCCACATTTTCATTATTCATACAGGGAGAATGAAAACTAATAAAGGATTAAGGATCATAAGGATCATAAGGATCATGCGGGTCATACGGGTCATGCGGGTCATACGGGTCATAGGGTCATACGGGTCATGCGGGTCATACGGGTCATGCGGGTCATGCGGGTCATGCGGGTCATACGGGTCATACGGGTCATGCGGGTCAGACGGGTCATGCGGGTCAGACGGGTCATGCGGGTCAGACGGATCATAAGGTTGGAAACATAAGGATCATAAGGTTGAAATAATACACTAGTACACCTAGTTTTTTGGATTTATCCTTTATTCACCGGTCTCTGACCTATTTATGACTTGTTATTCCAAGTTATTTTCTTATCTTTGTAAAATATTATAGTATTATACCATAATTCTCACCTTATGATCACATAATGTTTTGCAAAGATAAGAAAATAACGTGGAATAACAGGTCATAAATCAATCAGGGATCGATGAATGAAGATGAGGCGCAAAGGTTGGATTATTCTTGAATAATGAAAAGGTGGGACTATTGTAAGAAGACCGCTAAAAGGTTGGATTATTAGTTTCCATTTTCCCTAATTTATATCCCCTTTCACTA